AAGCTATGTGGTTACTTTCCAGTTGCAGGGATTTTATTTTATTTTGATTTGGGTTTTTTGTTTGTTTTTTGGGGGGTCTTTTTTTGATTTTTTTCATTTGGAAACACTTTTTTTTAACATTACTTTTCTGGAAATGAGAAGAAATTTTACACACATATATATTTATGCACAAGTATGTGTGTATATATGTATTTATACACGGACATATACACATGCACATGTACATATGTGTGTGCGTGTTTTAAAATATAGTGATGCATCAATCTTCTCTCCATATTAGCTTGATTTGAATCTTGGGAGATATTGCCAGTAGGCCAAGTAAATGCTTGCTTGTTTGTTTTTCTCATATGTGCTTTGTGTAGTCTTTCACTGCTAGAGATAAGACACTGGCAAACAATTTATGGGTAATAAAACAGTAGTTAGTATGAACACAGAGACTTAATTTCTTATATAAAGATTACACAAAGAGAAGTTGAGATTAAGGATAAAGTTACAGCGCTGCTGTTGTCAGTGAGATTTAAACGGATCGGTTTTATCATACCTAGTATTTTCTTCTGCATATGTTTCCACTTAGTCCATAGACAAAAGGGTTTGGGGGAAGACAGCTGTACTACTACAGTATATAATATAAAAAGGTATTTTAGAAGGTTGTTTAGTCTCTCAGTGAAAAATCATTGAAAAGGAGAGCTTTGTCTATTTGAGGCCTTTGTTAGCTTTCTGGGAAAGATATGCCTCGTTAACAGTAGCGAGCATATAGGAGTGAGAGCTCTATATGCCTCATTAGAGTTAGGAAGCGCATGAGGTGAGAGCTAAGGTAACACATAGTTTTGACATATTCTTAAAAGTAAGATGCTGTGGTGGAGACAGTAGCACATGTGTCCGTCTGTCCAGTTCCAGTTCACCAAGCGGCAAGTTAGAACTTAACCACTTCACTTGGGAAGTAGAAATGTAAGTTGCTTAGCATCTGTTACTTGAAGTTCAGTTAGCTTTTGCTGTCAGGCATGGTACTGAGTAGTTCAAAAAAGGGAAATAAGCCATGCTTTCTGCGGTACTTCAGACATCTGTTAGCAGAAGATGAATCTCTATAGCTGTATTGGACCTTCCTGTCCAGAAAGGGCCCTGAGGTTTTCTTGAGGAACCTTATGAAAATAGGTAGAACTTAGTTACCAGTATCTGTTTTGGGATTTGAGATCATGAGGCAAACTGTATGGCTTTGAAAGCCTGTCTTTAATACAGGACCTTAATTTTTTGTCTGATGAAAGAAAGTATGAATTAGCCTCCTCTTGATTGTCTTCTTCAAGAAGGCAAGAAGCTTCCTTTTCAAACGTATCTCTTGTTGTTTACTGAGATTAGATCAACACTTACTTTGCTTGTTTGTTGTAGTTCCATAGCTCTTCGTTTTATCTATTTTTGATTTTTGTTGGTTATAATGCTGAAACAAAATGAACGTTCTTTTTTCCCTCTGAGACAAGAGTGAGCTAAATAGCACTAGCAGGTTAAGCCAAAGCTGCTGGATTTGCAAAAGTAGCTGAGGTGTGTTATGTTTGCTGACTTTCCTGTCCTCACTGTCAGCGCTGTGCTGGTTACTGCCCCCCACCAGTAACTTTAAACTGGTAAAGCAAATGCTAAATCTCTTTCATCAGCATGCTGAGACAATATTCAGCTCCAGGGTGATCTGCTGCTGACTTCAGGGAATAAAGTTAACGTGATTGTACACTGTGCAGCTCTCCATGTTCTAACTAGTGCAATCAAGAGTAAATTCTTGTATTCTTAACTTTTGACTCTTCATCAGCAAGGATGATCAAAAAAATAGAGATGTATTTATGATTTTAATAGTAGGGTCTGTTCTTAGATTTTTTTGATTTACCTTATAGGTGGCATTGTTTTGTTGTTTTGTTGTTTTTTTTTAAAAAAAGGCAGTTCAAGTGCATAATGCAGTAATGAGTGTAAAAGGAGTAAGTCCTCAATAGGAATGACAAAACCATCTATCGGTTGAAGGTGACTGGAAACTCCAAAATGCACATCTCTTTTATTAGTAAAGAAAAAACCCCCCACCCAGTCAGATGTTCTAACTTTCCTTTCCCCAAATAATACTAATGCATGATCTTTCAGAGAGGTTTTTGTTCTTTTTACTGCTTTTTCTCAAACGTGCTTAGCTTAAACATTAGGTCGTGTGCCCTTATAACATAGAAATTGAAACTTTTTCCCTCTAAGTAGCTCTCTGCTTTAACATGGTTTAGTTTGAAAAATCACTTGATCATGATTTTTGGTGTTTAGTTTGTCTCTGGCATTAAAAAGTGGTTTTGATCAATGACTGATCTTAAAATATTGTCTATAAAGCTTTTCCTTTCTAAATAGCATGTGACTTAGAACAGTCCGTTTCACTCTGAGGTTTTCATCTTAAGTACACACATTTTCCATGAACAATCTAGAGCACTGCTATTAATTTGTCATATGCTAAGTTCTCTAGCATAGACATCCAGAGGTTGTTTTAGCAGAAGAGCTGAGCAGTTTGTAGACTTAAGTCTTCTCATAACTGTACATGTGTGAGCTCAAGAGTGTAGAACTGCATTCTTCTGTCATTCCTGAATGTCTGACCTGTTTGTGTTCATGTTTTAGTGCTAAACTGAAACGAATGTGACTTGGTTTTGACTGAAGTGGGACAGAGGGCATTTGTGTGGAGAGCACTGATGGCAAGTTGGCACAGGCTGCACTGAAAGGCTAGAATTAGGAGGTCTGGGGTGGAGAGTTACTCAGCTAGCACAGTTGTGTGTGGAAAGAAGTGTGTGTCTGCCCTGGATGTGCTGGTTTGAGCTCATTGTAAAGATAAGCTTGGAGCACACAAGTAAGGACGTTAAAGGCCATGTGACTCAAATACAATTGCAAGAATCTGTATGGCATGCTTTTAAGCATCTGATCTGCATGAGAAGCTCCTTGCAGTTATCTAATGTTTGTAATATTTCCTTTGTCTTTCAGATTAAAACTTAGAAAATAGGAATTCTATCAAGCTGCTTTTATCTATATAGGGCAGGAACAGATATATTGTGTGTCAGAATGCTTTTCTAGTTGCATTGTCTTAATTTTCTTTGGCTTTACAAACGTTTTATTATTAAAATATTACTACAAAAAATTGTTCCTAGTTCACAGTGTGCGTGTCAGTTCTTACCGTGTTGCAGAAAGAACTGGTGATAAGCTGATGTTAGCAGCTTGCATTTGTCTTATGATAATTAATATAATAGAACCATTTTATGCTGGAGTTAGTGTTACTCTTTCACAAGTAAGCACAAAAAATAAACCTAGGATAAACCACAAAAAATTGTCAAAATAGCATATATTGTGATCCCTCCTTTCTGTACATGCTCAGGAAGTAAAGCTTCATCTTTGTCATCCTCAGTAAGTCGAGCAAGAAGACGTATGGAGGTGGGAGGGAGAGAAGGTTCTGGTAGGCTAGATCTTTGCTCCTAATGTGACTGACAGTCATCCTCTGCTCTTTTCTCTGATGGTGGTGTAACTGCAGGGCTAGTGATCACTTAGGATGCACAGTGTTTGGGGAGCGTCATCTTATGTCCTTTTGTTACCTGCAGTGAGTTTCATAAAAGCAGACCCTTACTTTTAGATTGAGGATTTACTTTGAAATTAGTATTAATTTTGATATAGACTTGCTGTTTATTGCAAATAGTACACAAGGTCCTCAGCAACACTTTTACAACATGGTATTTGTTAAAAATACGTGAAATTAATAAACTGTAATATACTTCAAGTCTTGTGTATTAAAACTTCGTCTTTTGCCAGAAAGATCTTTAAAGAAAAGGTGCTTTTAAAAAACTGAAGCAAAACTTGTTCCAGCAGTAAATCCATTAGCTAGGCTTGGGTGGAGCTCAGATTACCTCATCTGTCTGAAAAACACTCCAGCTTGCGAGTTCATGCTTAGTCTGGAGATATGAAAGACAACAGAGCATGCTAAACTGCTAATCCAAGTGTGTTACCTCTTTCTGAATATTATAGCTGTTCAGGGGCTTTTTTATAACATGAATCTTCTAACAAGTTTTTTTGCTATACAAGTCAGTTATCTGAAGAACTTGAGTTCTTCCATTTTTCTGGAATTTCTATGTATAGTATCCTGACTGAGTTGATGGGTTAAATTGGGCCTAGGTTAGAGAAGGATGCGTGTCTAAATGGTTATGACAAACCTTTTCTCTTTGGAAGAGAAAAACCATGCTGACTGTAGTTTCGGAAGTGTTACAAAATATTTTTGTATTGAAAGTAATCTAGTTCCCACATGTGTTTTTGGGTCTGAAGTTGCTAAGTTGCCTGCTGTGGCTAGCGTGTTAAGTAATGACTGTTAAGATTCTGGAAAACATGCGTGTTTGTGTTTTTGGTTTAGGGTTTTTTTTTTAACGTGCTCTTTTGTGGTTCTCTGTAGCTAGACTTAATTTGCATTTTTTTCTTGAGACTTGGTGTTCTGGAATTGTAACTGACAGGCAAGCGAGGCACAGTTCTGCACTTTGGTAATGATGTGAAAGGCGATGTATGTATTTTCATGTGGAGACTGTAGACTTTGATGTGTTTTTGCAAAATTAGTCTAGGTAATAGCTGTCTTCGTGCAACCTATGTGACAATCTGGGTAAGAAATACACCTGTACGAGGGAGAGCAAGGGCAGGAGGTAGGGAGTGGAGGGAGCCGGCTCTGGAAGACTAAAAGCAGGCAAGGGGAAGCTCTGAGGCAAGCTCGTACATAATAGCCACTGTTATGTTGAATCATAAGATCTTTTAAATACAAACCCTAGAAATCATAATTGCTGTTTACAAAAAGAATCCTTAAACCAATAAAATCAGTTTGAGGAATATAGTATAGTACATTTATATAACTTTAAGTATTATATTATTCCACAATAACTTCATATTATACGTATTAATATATTATTTATGGCTTCAAAACTAATTATTTTATTTTTTTCCTTCTTTGTTAGGTTCTTGTGGCAGGAGGAGCATATTGACCTGAGATGGAAGTCAAAACACCATATAGCAAAGCCAGTAGGATTCCTGAAACTGTATCCCCATTAATTAATGAAGAATTTGTCCTGGTTAATCAGCAATCTGAGGACACCTCTGGAAAAGATGAAAACCCTCAGCTAAAGGTTTATTATTACGTTCTTTTGAATGTGTAGTAAGATTTGTGTTGATCAGAAGATTGCAACTTCTTTTGAATATTTAGTTAAAGATACTTGTTTGTACTTGAGTAGACTCTTAAGTAAGGACAGAAATGACAGCCCGTTACTGTCGAATTTAACAGTTCAGATAAAGCAAGCCTATTCAAAAGTGGCAGTTCAGTTTTTCTTTTAATAGATTCTTCAGGGGTCAGCTTTGGTATTACTAATTAAAATAATTACTATTTATAAATAAGAATACTAATTAGTAATTTATTTTAGTAATTCTTATTTATTAATAAAAGACTAAAAAGTTCTTTTCAAATAATGAACTTATGATTAAAGCTTGGGAAATATTCTTTATTTAGGAATCAGATATTCTAAATGTTGTTGTCTTAAAATCACATAATTAGACTACGTAGAAGTAGACAACAGAGGGTCTTCATTTTTAGCTTTTAGTTAATAGTTGAGTTTTCCTGATTAGTGCTACTTTAGGCATGACTAAAAGCTTTTTCAAAAGCTTTCTACTTCTAAGTAGTGGGATATTTCAGCATTTGAATGGTGGCTGATTGGTTAATGACAGTTTCCCCACTTGAGTTGCAGTAGCTGTTTTACTGCTTTTGGTCTGCATGAAATAATAGGAATTTGTTCCCCTTGAAATGACAGCGAGTACGCAGTCTGTCTTCACATAACTGTTGAGTAGTTATTGACAACTGATGATTTCTAGATGTATTAAACACTAGCTACGTCTAGTAATTATGTCTGGAAAGAGGTAGGTGAACTAGAGATAGAATCCATGATGCAACTGTATTATTGGCCTTGGGGCTTTTTTTGTCTAAAAAGCTAGTACTTGTGAAAGGCTGTATATTTCTTTTTTTTTTCTCTAGGGAATGTGTCTTACCATTTTCTTGCAATTTCCTTAGACTGGCACCCCTCCTGTGTGTGGAACAATTGGTGAAATAACTGAATTGGATATGACTGAGAAAGTAAAATTTTCTGTAAGATTAATCTATAAAAAGTTCTGTTGATCTTTGTTCTATTCAGAATCTAAACGCAGAAATCTGTTATTTTAAGAGACGTCTGTAGTCTTTAGATGGATGGTTTTTTGATTAGTAGTGAGAATATGTGCATTATATAATGGGTTAGGACACGGATTATGTTTCGTAGAATGGCCTACGCTGGAAGGAACCTTAGTTTGATGTAGTTTTATTGATTCTTAATGTGTTGTCTTATTCAGCAGAGATTTTTTTTGCAGTGAGTAGGGCTATATGTTAGAAAAATAGGAGTGAATGTAAAATTACAAGTACCTTTAAAAATGTAATCTCCTATTTACAGGTATTTTCAAATGGAGATGATCAGCTGGAGAAGGCAATGGAAGAGATACTTAAGGATTCTGAAAAAGATCAAAACGCTTTCAGTGCTCTCCGAGAAGGTTCCAGTGATGCAAGCAGCCAGGCAGCTGCAGATGGGTCAGAAGGTCAAACAAATCAGCCATCCTTGCACCTTGTTTTAGACCCTTCTACTACAGGTACTGCTAGACAGGACTTCTCCTTTTCATCATATGTGGCAGGTTGTTTGCTGGTTTGTTGGTTTTTTTTAATGCAGTTTCAAGTTAACCTTAAAATGAATATAAAGCTTTCTGGAGCTACGGTCCAAAACTATACTGGAGAATAGCCTGGAGTATCCTCTGCTTTTCTGATGAATTGATAATGCATTCCTGTCTATAATCCCCATGAGATTAATGTTCTGTACTGCTGTGTTTTGGACAAGATAATTTTCATTTTGTCTCCAGCCCTAAATGAGTCAGGACTAAGCGTTGTGTAACTTGCTCAATGGACTATAATTGAAGTAGAGGTGCTACTGATGCATTATGAAAAGTTTCAGGGCAATGTTCATTTGCAGTACTACCTGCAAATAAAATACACCCTGACAAAACTGATTAGTAAGGTTTGCTGAAAAAGTGAAGACTGAACGCTTTTTGTGTAAACTATACTGTATAGGTTTTTATGTAAAATATATTGTAGCTTTTGTATGCATTTATATATAAATATATATATAAAAAATATATAGATAGATATATTAAGTATACCAGGCTGTGGCTGTCTCTGTGGGCCATATATAAGATTTTATTTCCATCGTATGCAGAGACTTCTGTGGCACTCTGTCATATAATTCCCATAGCATCTGTTTGGGAAATAAAAAAAAAAGAAAGCAAGCTTTGTGGTAGAATGAGAGAGACAATTTATGCATATTAGAAACACCCTTCTCTAAATTACATATACGCTTACATACCTGTTTGACGTGCTTCAAACAAAACACAACCCTTAGTATGAATCAACAAAGAAATACTTGTAGATACATTCTTCCCACTGCCCCCCCAGTAGGAATAATTCACTTTTGCAACCTTTGTGATTTAGGTATTATGGAAACATGAAACATTTGCTTTAGTAATAGGAAATAGAAATAAGCGGGCAAGTTGCTTAGAGAGTTTTGGAACATCCATCTTTGTAGATACCGAAACTCGGCAGGACACTGAGTAACCTAGTTTGGTTTTGAAATTAGCCCTAATCTAACCTGGTCTGTCATTAAGCAGGAATTAAAACTACATGACCTCTAGAGCTCTTTTTCAACCTAGGTTACTCTGATACTGTACTTAATGAATTTTCTTCCACTTCTCATCTTGTTTCTCAAATGTCAAAATGCATTAAAATCACCAAAAACCAAAAAACAGCAAAACTTCCAAAGCTCCCTTAAGATCACCTCTGTCTATAGTATCATAGAATCATCGACTGGCCTAGGCTGGAAGGGACTGTAGAGATCGTTTAATCCAACCTCCCTGTCATGGGCAGGGACGCCTCTAAACTAGGTCAGGCAACCTGTGGGGACTGAACGGAGTAGAGTGATAGTGGGGGAAAAAATGCTTCTTTTCTGCTGAGTAGAGGAACAAACAGATATCCTTTTTCTTCTCTCCAGCTCCCTGATGGTTTCTTGCAGTTTATAAAACTATCCCGGGAATGTGAACCACGTTTAATAATTCCACACAAGCTGCATAGACATGGGAGAGAAGAGAATAAGAAGCATGATGAGTAGGAATTAGAAGGAGATATAAGTGAACTAAAGAGAAGAATATCTGGGGAATGCAGCTTAAAGAAAAGCTGTGTTATAGCACTGCTAAAAAGAATGAAAAGGCAATTTTTCCCTATGCCATACCTGGTAACGTGCATGAGAGTAGAACAGACTTGAATATTAAGATGTTAAATTAATTTCTTACATTGGAGCTGGACTTTTGACTCCCATGCCCATTCTCGGAAAAACTAGGAGATTTTGATGTGAAACTCATTCAAAAAGACAATGTGTAAAAATAAAAGCAAATGGTTAAACAAGTGGTTTCTTTGTTTTCAGAAATCTCTGCACTAAGGCCGTCTTCCCCCAGCAAACCCCTGGAAGAGGACAGCGTATTGTTTAACAAACTGACTTACTTAGGGTGCACAAAGGTGTCTGCCCCTCGGAATGAACCGGAAGCTTTACATGCCATGGCAAGCATGAAATCCTCAAGTCAGGCCCCTTTATCTGTAACGCTTTATGTTCCAAACATTCCAGAAGGCTCTGTAAGGTAATATGCAAATGTTTTTGTTTCTCGCACGAACATGTACAAGATGCATTCTGACTTTGTTACTCCCACAGAGAAATAGCATTGCTGGATTTGTGCCCAGAGTTCTTGCTGAAAACAGTTATTTCAGAGAAGTTCCTCTGAAGCACCAAAACACGTGCTCAGATTTAACATGCACTACAGAGCTGGTAGCAGTTGCCATGCAGTGTCAACAAAAGCATATCTTTCTACCTGTACCTCTGTTCACATATTATCGTATTTACATCATATATATATACTGGAAACGGGGAGCTGATAATGCCTATTTTCTCCCAACCTCCTTTAGTTTGTAATGCTTTCCAAGGTAAATATGTTGAGACAGCAGTAGTCTGCTGGCCTTAGGTTAGCTGAAGAAGTTTCAGTTTTAGACTTTTCCGTATACATCAAGGACTTGAGATGATTGTCTTTTTTTTTCCAGATGTTGCTATGCTAAAGCCAAGTCTGACCTGGCTGCTTCATGATGTATATGGGGGTAGACTCTAGATGGTAGGAAACACTTACTTGCCCCATGCAAGAAGGGTGTTTTCGTGATGAAAGAGTCAAGGGTTCTTAACCTAGGTACACTAAAGGCACACCTGCAGCAGTCTTGCATCCAGAAGAGGGGAGAATTTCAATATTCAGGATTTTTATTTTTAAGCTCTAATATCAAGATATCTGAAGGATATGGTTAGATTTTCTTCCTTTCCTGTACTCCGTCTGTGTATTGACTATCATCCTAATTTTTTCCATTTTTTTCTTTTGTTTGATGTTACAACAATATTTCATTTGAATTAGGAAATTACACTGCATGCTTTTATGAAGGCAACTGTCACATAGACATGAGGTGTTAGGTGTGCTGTACCTATTTTTGTATCCATTGTGGTCATTTGAGAAGATTGTTTTGCAAGTGAGACTTCAGGTTCCTTTGATCTTGAATTGCAGAGGATCATTAAGTGAAGAACTGCCTTAGAATCTGCCCAGAACTGTAAAGGTGAATTCGTGTGTGATACACACTCCATCAAAGTTCAGGTGACACTAGAGTCATCTTTTGAGGAG